AAAAAAAATCAACGTGAACTTGCATGGACATCAAATAATTTTTTATTTTTCGAGTAACAATTTGAGTATATATGCGACAATTTTCCACAGAATAGAAATGCATTGGCGTTTTATGTTATACGCATTGTGTGTTTGTGCACGTTATAAAATTTTATACTAAATGTATAGATTATAAGAAGTATTCTTCAAAAATTGTTAGCTCTCTTTTTGATATATATTACTTTATTTTTATTTTTTATTTATATAGATTGCACACGTATTTTAATTTTTTACAAATCAATTTGTGGCTAATAAATGAGATTTATTTGTAAGTAATATTTAGAAAAGCATACATTAATTTAACAAAAATCATATTAGATCATAAAATTTCTTGTTACGAGAATTTAATTTCTCTTTACATATGCCAGAATGTGGTTCATACTGGCGGAAAGAAATTTGGGATGCGGAAGTTTGAATTTATACGACGTTCTAGACTTTACGCTCGTTTCAGCCGCAGTTTCCCAATTTTATGGAAATTCGTGCAGCTCCTATATTGGTGGAAACAAGGATGGAAGATTTAGCAAGTCTACGGTACATAGCTGACTGTTATTTTCTAACAGTAAATGTACAAGCAAACGTATGATACGGATAGATTAATTTTTTTTAATTTACATTTAACAGAGAGAGAGAGAGAGAGAGAGTTGTATAAATTAAAATTGGAATTTTTACAATTTTTTTTAATGCACTAAAAAACATGAATAACAAAATGATGTATATTATTGAAAATAGTATACAGTATATATAGTATTGACACGATTTTTGTATCCATGAAATGTTACGTTGTACTACGTCATTCTTCGTCGATCAATCTTCATTCGAAGCATTGAAAGAGACCTTCAATAGAGTGAAATTCACTGCTCTGTGCGAGCACTATTGTTGCGATTTAATGTGCTATTTGCTGGACAAAAGATTGAGAAAATGTAAAATTTTCTTTAATTTCGTATTTTATTCTAGCTAATTTGAAAACGACTTTGTTTATTTTGCTTATTCGATTGCAAAACTGTTACGCATGCAATTTGTGACAGTTTAACAAGTTTAATTACACGTTTATATTTTTGTTATTGATAAATTTTGAAATATGTACAAGAATATATACATTTACACAATGTAAGTTTTCTTCTATATCGACAAATTCTGTGAATAGCGCAATTTTCTCAGAAATTTTCTCATGGGGCAAAGTTGTGCGCTGCACGTATCAGGTCTTGGGGATTAAGGCGAAAGATATGTCGGATTACTTTGGGATATATAGTGGCAGCCTCGCAATTTCGCTTTACTTTGAACATCCCTGAGTCTTAATGCGGCTTAAATGACTTTAACGCCGCTACGACCAATGTTATACTCTCGTGTTTTGCATATGTGAAACGCGCGATTATGCGTTTACGAATAATTTCCACGGATTGATTCTGCGATGTTGCAATCGCTGAAAATTTTTGAAAATTACAGCGCATAAAGTTGACTTGATAGAAAAATTTGAGACGCTGAATAAAAGCCATAATAAAGCAGTCTGTTCTACAATGTCGTTTTTCCTCCTCACCTTCTTCGCCATTGTCGTCACTGTTATCATCACCGTAGTCGTGTTTCTTTAACGTGAGCGCCCTTCTTCGTTTTTGAATCTGTCTTCCATCTCGACCCTTTTACAGGCAAATTCGCTTCAAATTACTTCTGAAAATCTCATTTCCACTGAGATTTTTGTCAAAAAGAAAAAAATTACGCGCTGTTATGGCAGATACATGAACCTCCGCGCCTCCAATGTAGTGCGCGATAAAGTGTACCGAAAAGACCGACCTGGCGGAGTATCTTGAATGAAACAAGAAAAGCAGGATGAAAATACGGTAACGTACGTAGGGAGGATGAGAAGACATGGCGGTATTTTCCGCTCTTTGAAGATCGTTGATATAAAGCTTCTTGGAACGATGTTTTCGTGGTATATGAATCGTATTGCGTGAGCTATGCTTGCGGTTGAAATTACGAAGCGAATTGCGAACGTTGAAGACATGTACGTACATATGGAAAACGAGTGAGATATTTAAATTACTTTCTCTTTTAGAGTTTGAGTTAAGAACAAATTTCTCAATACCAGAAGCGTTCGATTTATTTATTTATTTTATTACTGAGTTAAAGAGTAAAAAAAAAGAGTTATTCTTGAGACAGCCTTTTCTCACAAGTCGTAAAATTCAAATTTTTTAAAATTAAATTTACTTCTGAGAAATATATTATTAAAATGCAAATGTTAATGAAACTTTTCTTGTGAATTAAAACTTTTAATTTTTATTAATTATACTTGATTAATTAATGTTTCTCGTGGAATACGTCACATGGAATACTGTTATGATTTCAAAATCAGCGATTGCTGATATTGAAGTTACTGCATCTAAATTCATAAAACTACAAATTTTTAGTAGAATTATTAAGTTGAATTCAAACATGCGTAATTTGACATGACACAAACCATGCAGTACCATCATATGTCGAAAACGCTATTATCAAAAGCATTTATAATCAACTACACACAATTGTTTAATAAGTTAATTAATATGAAAAATTAATTAATACTAAATATCATATACATCACTAACGAAACGATAACTGCATCCAAACTTTAATATATAGTTAGTCCAGAAATTTCAACATTTTTTTCTGTATGTCGTAGCAAATATGTAGACAGTGCTTCATTAAAGTTCTGGAATTTTCGATACGCGTTTTCTGAATTATGCATTTTTAACTTTGTTTCACGAATAAAATGGAGAGAAAGTGGTATTATGGTATATATGTTATTATATTATAACCCGTTTATATGTTATTATACAATAACATGATTAATAATTATTGAAATTGTTTAAATTTAAAACTTAAAAATTATATTCAAAGTGCCGTATATTATGACATTATGTTATAAGAGAGCCAACAGCGTAACATTATTTATACACATGTCGATTTCCGCTACAAGACATCACTCAAAGTATTGCTGTTGACGTCTTTATTCTTCAGCGATCGGCAATGTAAACGCCCGAATTCCGTAACTTTCAAATCAGGCGTGATCAACTAGTTCACGAACTATCGTCATTTGCGTGACCGAGATTGATGGTAGTTGTTTCTCTCCCTTACAGGAAGACGCGGTGACACGGCGATTCAATACGGAACTACGAGTGTTCGACAAAGACTGTAAAACGGGCGCGAACGAGGAAGAGGAGCCCGTTTCGGGAACCGGTGAGATTCAAACACGAAACCTGGGTCAAGGTAAGTCCGTCATTGTATCATTATCAATATAAGATCATTGTATCATTATAAGATTTTCTGAAAGTCTAAAAGGCTATGTAAAACGGAAGAAATTAAAGAAACGCAGTGAAAAGTATGACTTTTCACGTAATTAATAAATTAAACCAACGTTTATGTTAAAAACATCTGTTTTATAACAGATATTAATTATCTGCTTATATAATATAATATTAAAAGATTTGATTTGATGCGAAAACAATTACAACGCGTCAAATTTTTTGCACATAATTTTTTATACAATTTAAACGGCTTAAGAAAAATTACCGTGTGCTTGTTTCCCATTTTTGCAAAAACAATTTGTATCTTGTGCAAAAACTTATAAAAATGTAAATTGATTTCCAGAAGAAAATAATAATCTTTTGAAAAAAGTAATAAGTGGCAATAGTAGTAGTATGGAAATATTATTAGCGGAAGGACTTGTGACATCTTTTCTAGAAATACATTACGTCATAGTTTTTAATGACGCACAGAAATTTTAATGGATTTTTCGCGCCGCCAGTGCTTGACAGTTTGTGCATTAAAAATTTTTGCTGCGTCGTCAGCGATTTTAACTGAGTTTCAATGTGTCGTTCACACGCGTCGACTATGCCACTCAAGCGGATAATCGATAGAATAAATTATTCTATGTCGATCATATGACAAACTAAGTTTCACGTGATGCAGAAAATCATATTTTGCTGTGAAAGTTAACCAAGTGTTGCCTGCATTATTACAATTTATGGACTATTACTGTAAACTTTGCTTAGAAAGAAATACACATGCAAAAATTTGTAATTATTAAACAATTAAACATTTAATAGAATATTTTACTTGTCTTCTTTAAAGTTATAATATGATTAAATTAAGAAAATAAAAACAGAAAAATGTAATTATAATTATTATAAAATAAAAAAAAATTCAAATTAAAAATTACTTATAACGTTACATCAATTAATTAGGATTGTATTATACACACTGATAATGTGCTTCAAGATTTAATGATTATTGTACAATAATGAATTTATCATCGAATTTTGCTAACTGCAAACGCAGCGAACCAATTTGGTGGTCGCAGGTGAACATTGTCTTCCGTTAATTAATTTCGGTCCGCTAAATTCACTGAAAGTTTCGCATAGACTGAAAGTGGCTTGGAGTATTATGCCGTAACTTCTCTTAGGGTATAACCTTGCGCTTACATGATGAAGCTTGCACTGATGTGAACGGTGGTGTAAAGGCAGTATAGTGATGGCAATAGAGCTCGTGAAGAGCCTTAGGGTCAAATACCAGAGCAGTGCCGGTATTTCAAATCTATTTGAGCAGAAATGCAGCTATTCGTAGATTCCTTGAATTTACATCTGTAAGGATAGATCTTGTCGCTTTGTACAATAAAATTTTATTTTTATACGAAAACTTTTCCAATATGCACAACTTGGAAGGTTTTCCATTATCTTTTTTATTTTATTTCAATAAATTTAATCTGAATTTGTATGTGTTATTCGAGAAAAGAATAGTTATGTTGAAATATCTAAAAATTTAGTTAGATACAGATCTGAAATAATATTATTAAATCATCAAAATAATTATGTGGGAATCTGAAGCATGATGAGCAAAAACAGTTTTTTGCAGCATTGCTCATTATGCTTCAGATTCCCACATAATTATTCCGATGATTCAACAAAAACATTTTTAGTTTCATATCCAACTGAATTTTTATATTAGATATTTCAGCAAAATCGTGTTTTCCGTGTAAATAATATTTTGCACGTTATCGTCTTATTATTAATGAAAAACGAATTTGTATAAACTAAATTTTATTATTATTAATATGTGTGAAAATTAATTAAATTGTATTTCTTTTATTATGAATTATTAGTAATTAGTGTACCAATATTGGAAAATTAATTGGCAATATTATATCTGTAATATACTTTTGATAAATTATATTATCCGATTATAAGTTTACGAGAAGCATTTAGTTGAAGTAAAAATATTTTTCAATTCTTGTGTCGGTTAACTAAAATATTAATTAATAGCAATCATTTTTGTAACGTCTTGATTAGATTCTATAACTTTTGGCGCGCGGCGAATCATATAATTGTTCGATTGATATCGATTGTGGAAGGACTTTTGGGAAATGCAGGCACATTGATCATCTCAGCAACCTGCTCTGCCGGGCAAGAAATGACTGGAACTTTAGATCTCCCACGAGATCACGCGGCTGGTATGTACACAAGGCGAATTGGGTTGGGGAGAAATTTCAGGCCCGGAGATTTCGCCCTGTATTAATACCCGCGGGGCAAGAAATTGCAAACAAGATCTCCACGCCGGCACGTGAAATTAATCCTTCGCGTGCAACAGTTGAGGCATCGTTGCGCATAATAGCACCGGCGCCCGTTTAGAATTACGACAGAAGCGACTCGCGGGCGTATGCAAAGATTAAATCGCGCCCGCAATATTCCGTCCGCTCACGCGACTGCTCGATGACAAGCACGAGAACATTTATGAGAGACAAAACGTTTGATTGCCGTACGATATCTCGAAAGCGACTGAAGTTAGAAATAATGGATGCACTTTAAAAAAATCTGAGACAGAAACGAAAAAAGTAGAAAATTTGAATGTATTTTATAAAACAGATTTCATAAAGTACATGCCAATAAATACTTTAAATTATTTAACAAAATAGTTTTCCAAGAAAAAATTAAAAAATGTATAATTGAATAGGTTCTATGTACATGCAATAAACTTGTATATAGAATAACAATAAAAAAATTTATATTTTTTGCACTTTTTCTTTCTTATGCTTATTTTAGATCGACCGCCAATATATTATATGTATCATTTAAAGTAGCAGATCGGTCAATATAATGTCTATTGTAAATCAATAATATCACCAACATAATAAAGAAGTAAAAAATGGAGCTCCAAATTATACATAGACCATTGACGTAACACTTATAACGAAACTATGTCATAACTATAAAGAGAAATATACATAATCTTACAAAATACGTTATATTATTAAGATATAACTTATTTCTCTGTAGAATAAATAGTTATATAGTGGTAATAAGTAATGGAATAATATTCTTAATTACTATAATATTTTTCTTAATTAAGCAATAATTACAAATTATAGTACCACAATTCATTAACGATACATTGGTTAAATATTGATATGCAGTGAGGATATATTGGTTCAAGATATTCCGTCCGATATCATCCGACCTTTTTCTATACTTATTTACTTATAATTATTGCCTGATTAAGAATATCAGTAATTAATAATGTTATCCCCCCCCCCCATTATATATGACGATTAAATAACAATATATTTATGACGGTAATATACTGTCTCAAATGTTACGTTTATTTTATCATTATTTAGTTTACTGATATTAAATGATGAAAAATGGCCTTGAATTGTTGTAATGGCGATATCTTGTTACTTGAGATGTAACTACTATCTGTCGTTAACGCATCAATAACCTACTGTGACTCAACATATCGTTAATTGAATATCATTGTTGCTAATGCAGCGTGTGCAGCGGCGAAGCGTAATCCAAGATAACAAGGGGAAAGACTGAACAATAACCGCTGTTGCGAAGTAGAAAATACCGGTCAGTGTCAGACACGTAGTGCGAAGACTGTTCATTGCTGGATAGTCGCCTGAATGGGAAGTCAAGGGAAACGAACGAAGAGAAAAGGAAGAGTTTAAACTAGAAAGAAGGCGAATGGTGGAATGGGATGCGGATGCGGAGGAGGGTCCTAGATTTCCTTCCGAACGACTACCTTTCGATTCCATCGAAGTTACACGAGCCGCTGGATTCCGATCCGAGTCGGCCTCTATCTCGTTCTGTATCCTTTTCAGTGGCGCTCCGCTGGCTGGGCTCTCTTGATTGCCGCAACAAAATCAATGCTCGAGATAGAACGACGACGGGAATTGTGATGAACGGATGTGTGCACGCTTCGTTGCTCCGTGTAAATCGTTCACGCGAGAGAGCCAGGCGAAATTTGAAGCTCGCTGGTTAGGAATTGCGGGTTAGACCGAGCTAACCATTTCCCACATGATTTCCTACTCGACAAACGCCTTTGCTTTTCAGAGGGAAACGTATCTGCAGTTTTGTTGCAATTTTTATTTAATTTGAAATTCTTTAGTAGTACATAGAAATATTTGTTTCTTTATAGAATAAGGGTTAAGGATATTGAAGTATTAATAGAAATAAATAACATACAGAGATACAGATAAATGTTATTATTGATAAGATTTTATAATATTAGTAGAATTTTAGTACCTATATGTTAAAATTTTCTTCTATTATTCTTAAAGAATAGAAAAGTTTTATTTTATTATATACAGCACTTACATGGTGCTAACTTCTTATTATATAATTTAGATTAAAAAAGTTAAAATTGTTGTTAACAGCTTACGAAAGTTATATTCTTTGGGAGACATACATAATATGTTGCCTTTTCGGTGATATAGGAAATACTCGTAATATGGGTAGGTTTTATCATTGAAGAATATAGGACGAAGGGAGGGTACGTTGTTACGAATGGCGCTACTGATAACGCCCGTACGGTACGGCGCGTTTCGAACTTTAATCGTAGTTTATAGCTGACTCGCTTGTGCTCTAGTTTCACTTAGTTTCGTGTAATGCGCAAAATTGCAACTTCATCGCGTGGGACGTCCTCGCGAAAAGAATCTGTTTTCGCGAAAAACGGCCTAGTAATTTAACGGAAGTTTTTTTTTTATCGATTACTTTTATACTGCAAACTTCATCATTTTGTAATCTAAGGGCAGTGAAACAATGAACTATGAATATTAAATTCTATTATATAAATGCCAAATATTAGTTCTAAAATTAGATTACAACACTGCGCCAATGTACAATAGCGATCGATTATAGATTTGTTTGCAATTGCAGGTTGATTGATTCATTAATCCTAAACAGTAACGCTCATATTATTGAAGTAGAAATTAA